TGAGATGTACGATAGAGGCGACGGCGCGGCGGTATGCCTCGATACCGTCGTCTTGGATTCTTCAGTATGGCCCTCCGAGGCTGCTCGCTTGCATTGCGAGCGCGAGCTTTTCCTGCTGTTCATCGCTAAGCTCATGGAGTCAGGCCATGACTTGGACGGTCGCTCTCTGAAGGGAATCGCGCGACTCCTTGCTGTCGATGCGTCTAAGTTGCAGGACCAAATTGATGATGAAGAATTGGATGTAATCGTGTCCTCCTTGGATCATCGGCTGCCCCTTGAGTGGAGAAGTCAAGCTACTTTAGCGACCGTCAAGTATCTTGAAGCCTCCAAGGAAATCGGACAGAATCGATTCACCAAGCTCATCTCTGCCAAACTTACCAAGACGCGCGTTGATGACCATATCATCGCGTTTTCGGCTACAGCCGCGGTTTTCCCTGTCATCCCTGAGATTGCGGCTACTCTGTTCTTATCGGAAGGATTCATGGCTTCCCTAACGCCCGTATCTGTTAGGGATGCCAAGCGCCGGAGAGTGGAGGTTTCAGTGTTGGAGCTGCTGAACGCTGCTTGTATTAACAAGGCCTGTCGCGAAGCTATCGCCAAGAATTTCTCCGATTGGCTTTCTCACACCCTGACTAACGGCAGCGATGAGTCGTCCGAATTGGCAGCGGTGGTATTGGCTAAGATACGCGCTTCTGACAAGGAAGCATCGGGATCTAATGGTCAGGTGCAGGGTGACGATGCGAGCGTTGCCGAATTGATCGGGCGGTTCAAGACCATTATGTCGAGTCGCAAGGGTGAGAATGTTCAAAACGTAATTGAGGGCTTAGCATACTCCTCCGTGAAGCCGATTGTGAAGGAACAGCTTGCCAAAGACTCGACTTTTCTGCGGGACCTGATCAAGGTCTTGCATGAGAAATTGAGCGATTCCTCGGTTCTCTATGGTGCCCTAATGATACTCGTGAACATCACCCAGTTCCTTCCGAATTTGAGTGAAGAACAAAAGAAGATGTCTCAACTCAAGTCGTATGCAGAGGCTTCTCCCGATGCCCGGGTGGGCCCAAATCCCCTCGAGAAGGATGAAAGCGTTATCGCTCGTTGCAATGCCGTCATTGAAGCTGGTATCATGCCGCTTTTTATTGAGTGCAGCAAAACAAATCTCCCTTCCATCCAGGGCCTTATAGGCAAGATCATGCTTTCGCTGTCCCGTAATCCGAAAACCAGAGGAACCCTAGCCCAGCAGGGTGGTGTCAAGCTTTTGCTCAATATTGGCACTTCGAGACAGGGGAGCTCTGGTTCGATTGCAAACGAAGCCGTGCCTAATGCCTCCCACGCCTTGGCCCGCATTCTGATCTCTGTGAATCCGTCACACGTTTTCCCTCCATCTGGATTTCCGCAGGTCACTTCGGCTATCCGACCCTTAACTGCACTCCTGGTGGCCCCTGAGGCTTCGGCGGACCAGCCCCGCGATCTTTTGCCCATTTTTGAAAGCCTCCTTGCCCTCACGAATCTCGCTTCTCATCCGGATGAGAGTGCGCCGGATGCCATTGTCCGACAGGCATGGTCAGTGATCGAGGATCTGTTGCTTTCCAACAGTCCTTTGATTCAACGGGCTGCATGTGAGTTAGTGTGTAACCTAATGACTTGTGAGGCTGGGATAGTGAAATTTGCGGATGGCTCTAAACGGGCTGGGCAGCGCCTGCATATCTTGCTCGCTCTTACTGACGCGGATGATATCGCAACCCGAAGAGCCGCTGGAGGAGGTCTAGCTATGCTCACCGAGTTTGATTCCGTCGTCGCTGCCGTCTTGGATAAGCCTCGTGGCGTGTCGCTCTTGCTACGTCTTTGCCAGGAAGATGATGAGGGGTTGTTGCACCGAGGGGTGGCATGCGTGCGGAACATGAGCTCCATCGCATCAGGTGATATTGGCCGGCGCGCCAAAGAAGCTCTGAAGCAGGGCGGTGCGGTTGATATACTGACCAATGTGCTGAAGACATCGAGGAATACCGCGGTCCTCCAAACAGGAGTTGAAGCATTGAAGCCTCTTGTTGAATGATGTTTTGGATCTATTTTTTCATGAAATATGGGTTACCGGTTTGTTCCTGTTTCTTGCTTGTTAGCGATTGATTATTTTATTCGGGCGTGGGCTAGGGATGAATTGCTCAGGTGTTCTTGTTTTTCTGACCTGCGTCTCGGCGTTGCTGTCCTTTGTAGTTTTTGCCGGCAGCTTCTTCCTATTTCCCATTCTGTTATCTTACGATTTTACCCAGGTTATGAGGGCTGGGAATGGGCTCGGTGTCGGTTTCAGTTTGGCAATCAGGACATTTGCGCTTTACCGGGCCATTCATAGACCAGGATGACTGTTTGTGATGTATTTTCAGTGGGTTATCTAGAACGTTACATGATACAGTTTTGATATGAGCTCTCAACTAGAGATTTTCCCCCCTAACTCACATGCCATAGCGCTATCCACAGCTGTCATCACAAACCCTATACACCCTGAACCGGCCATTGCAACCCTGTCCCCACCATCCACTCAGCATCAGCCAGGGCCGATTCTACCCCCGCCTAAATCCCTGTCCTACCCCTGTCCTCGGATAATAAACACTCTGATGGGGCTTCGTTAGGACTGGTTTTACTTGGGGTTGGGGATAGGATAGGCTTGGTGCTCTAGAGAACGTACATGTACTACGTGGGTTTCTTTGGGTGGGTAGGGTAGTGGTGGTGAGGTTTCCATCTTATTTGTATGAGGTTTTGGTGGCGTTCTTTCTTTCTTTCTTTTTTATGGGGGGAGGTGGACTGATCGAAGTTGATTCACTTATGCATAGCGCTTATGTACACCCTTGTTTTATATGGAATCCTAGTTCCCTTCTGCTATCTATCTTCTGGTTCTTAACATTGTTTATATCAGAGACTACTCTGACGCCTTAACATATACAGAAGAATGAAATCTAATGCTTCCAAATGCAGGAATCTAGTAAGTAATCCCCCCCCAAAATAATTATATGCCCCGATAACCGAGCCCCTCATCTCGATCACGACTGACGCTGCAAACCGACGTCAGAGTCAGCGAGCGGGGACGATCATAGTTAAACGCAACCCCCACGTACTTTTGCAACGGACCGTGCTTTGTGTGAATGGGTGAAACAGGTTTCAGGTTATGGTAGGTACGATATTAGTACTATGTGCCGAGATAGAGTAAAAAGCAAGGAATTATGATTATGATTGTCACCAGGTAGCGTTAAAGTGCGTCGATTATGACACCGACCGGTGGTTATTTGGGAGATAAAGTCCGACATGATCAGCTGAATGGAACGTTGGGCGGAAGAATGATGGCGGTTAGTCTAGAACAAGTAAGCTACGCAGGCGGTGCATTAGGAGAAGAACGATTGACGATGGTGGGCAAATAGTTCGACTCTTATAGAGTGGCGGTTGGCCAATCAGAGCGGTCCATTGCTTTGGTTTACTGGTCATACCGACATCTCGGACGGAGTACTACCTTCAATACTCATCGTCGGTGGGGTTGGCTTCTGGAAATAAAGGAAAGAATGCCGGTGACCAAAACAGAGATTCAATTGGCATCGTGACAAGTGACGCATCGATCTGGTGGCTGTGTGTTCATGTGAGGTGGGAAATGATAACTCTAGAGGGAGTGTGGCAGGGATGGACACAGCAGCAATCATGTACTGTGTAAGACTACGTGATTGATGGGGCTGAAGGTGCTTAAAGTCGATCTCACCCATAGCTTCTTACTATTACTCCGTAGTAGCTCTGGATACTAATTTCTATACAGTCCAAGTATTGTGTTTGCCCTACCTTGAGTTGTGGATCGAGGTGTATTCCGTCCGTACACAGTACAACATCATCAAAGTGGGTGGCACTTGACAACAACACCAGGGGATCAACTCCTTTTCTCCGCTCCAATAACAGAGCAAAGGGGGAAGAAGTTATCCAGAAGAACCCTATTTTCGAAAATTGTTCCCTAACTCTCTTCTTTCCCCGGAGTGTCTTTGATCCCTTGCTGACTCCTCCATACCTCTTGGTGTGGTTTAAGGGGTACGGAAGGGCATGTGACATGCAGGGAAACGCACGAGAAGGGGCAGAGGATTTCGAAATGGAAAAGGAACACGGCGGTGTCCCCACCCTTCTGAACTCATCATTTGGTTTTGAGGATCAAGGCACCAAGCTGGTGATGGGGAATGAAAGAGATTGACCAACTGAGTTCCACCGGCGGTATGCAACACGAACTCTGATTTGGCCTGTGGAAAGCTCGGATCAAAGTCTCGACCCCCTTGGGCAAATGGGATGTTGTCTTGATGTTTCTCGTCTTCTCCGAAGCTCCACGGCCCCTCTCCCGTCTCCAAGGGTATGGATCATGGAGGGAAGCATTAATTGTTTAATTCATTATGATACGGAATAAGCCCTGGAGGCCGTGGGAGACTATATATAGTGGTGGCGATCCGGAATCGAAGGATCTTGACAATTTCTTCACAAACCCACAGATAAGTTATTGGTCTTGACACATTACTTTATTGTGGCCTTTGCGACCGTTGTTTTTTTTTTACCACACTTACGTTGCATTCACCTACGACTCTACTACTTCATCGATACGGAGGCTGAGGGCAAGCATTGATTAACCCTACCGTCATCCTCCCGCATTCTACACATCTGTAAGGTACCGTTTTTCTCGCTCGTCCCGAGATCACATCCCCCGGAACAAACAGTGTGGCGCGAGCAAATCAGAGATCGCCCGCCTTGCACGCCGAGCATTAATTCGTGGAGCTCCATTGATTCTTTATCCTGAAGAGTCAAGTTCAACGTTCCGCCTCCCGGAACGTGTGCTCTGTTTGGCGCATCTCACTCGTTATTGCCCCCTGTTGCCACTTTTGTTCAGGCGTTCCCTGGTTCCTTGACTCCGGGTTCTCAAGGTATTGGCCTCTGTTTCCTCCATGTGCACTGTCACTGAGCCTCCCTGATCCACTTGGTGAATGTCTATACACAGTGGTACCTTGACCTCCTCCAAGTAAAAAAGTCAAATAAATTTTTTTTTTTTTTTCGTTCCCTCTTTTCTCTTTTTTTTGTTTTTGAATTCTTTCTTCTTGACCGTATCCGAGCTGCCCTTACTCCATAACGGCATCTCTCACCGCAATTTTTCCTGACTGGTTGAGCTTTTCACGTGCTGACTCCGCCCACGCTATAGTATCCATATCTTTGCCCATACTATCACACATCCTTTTTCAACATTCTTTTTTCAATCGATATAACCGTGAGAGTCTTTTCCACCTTGGCACAGAGACGAACACCTTGCGCAATGGCTTCTTTGTAAACTGACACATGGCGCTGCCGCATTCGAAGTTTCAACTGTCCTTTTCCTTTGTCCTTCTCGAATCCGTCTCTTGTTCTTGATCTATTCCGCCACTGGTCTATATCTTCTCAAGTTGGTGATTGGGATAATTTGTGTAAAAAGCCCCCGGGATCTTCTCAAGCATCCGAGATACTTGTTATCGAGAGGAGCTTACAGCTTGCTCATTTTCCTTGATACAGATCATACCTCGTTGTGATTGTCAGAAAACGAGAACATAATGAAGTTTGGGCGCAATCTTCCACGGAATGTCGTTCCTGAGTGGAGCTCCTCCTACATCAAGTACAAGGCGTTGAAGAAGCTCATCAAGTCGGCGGCAGAAGATGTGAAGGCTGGCCATGAGGCAGATCTTGCCGGTGAGCCGTTTCTATGAGTTTCCACGTATCTGGACCGCGAAGCGGTCTTCCTGACCTGACCCCCTAGGATTCTTTTACTCCCTCGATCGAAATCTCGAGGATGTCGACTACTTCTATAACAAGAAGTACTCGGATTTTGCTCGCCGCCTCAAGTTGCTAGAGGATCGGTATGGCCAATCTTTGGATGCTGGTCATCGTCTTGACTCGGAGGAGGTTGAGGACCTTCTGGCCGCCTTGCTTGAGCTGCGCGGCCAGCTACGGAAATTACAGTGGTACGGCGAAGTCAATCGCCGTGGGTTCATCAAGATCACCAAGAAACTGGATAAGAAAGTAGGCGTCCATGCGCAGCGAACTTATCTAGAAACGAAGGTCGACCCATCTCCATTCGCCTCGAATGCGCGGGTCACCGAGTCATTGAAGCAAATCAATGACTGGCTTTCGGTACTTGGTGAGCAGAAGGTCTCAGACGATGCCAGCTCCACTCGCTCTTCCCTCTCACTGAAGAGGGGTCCGGCTCGCCCACACTTGAACTTACCCTCGAGTTTGCTTGTCGCTGTCGACGAAGCGTTGCGCAAAGATGACACACACGTCCTCCTGGAATTACTGGAGGACCTTAGAACTTCTACGGACAAGCTTGGAGGAAACCTTTTCCCTAAAGTCCTCGAGAGCCTCTTGCAGCGGTCTATTTACTACCGCTCGAAAAGCTGCATTTCCGTCCTGCTCGACCGAATGGATAGCCTCGAGGATGAAGATGATATCAACAAGCGTAACTGCATTCACAGATTAGTGATCTCAATCGGTCGGACACAGTCCACGACTGACTCGGAGGAGTCCGCTTCAATGGTCCTGGACTTCCCCCTTGAAACCTCCAATTATATTACGCCCGCTGCCCTGCCAACATTGCAGCCTCCTCGGAATGTAGTGAAGGAGTCGGATCACCCTCAGCATTTGGATAGATCAGATCCGTCGGTATCGCTTCTACACCACCTGCTAGAGGAGCTCCGGCCTAGGCAACGACCTGCTCTGCTTTCCAAGGATATCTCGGGTCGTACCCCACTGCACTATGCTGCTCAGTATGGGTTCAGAGTGGTCTGTGAAGTCATCATCGAGCACCTGCAGGCATGGGATATGTTTGATGTTTCTGGGGGTATCGATGGGCCGCACTGGCAGGATAATGATGGTTGGGCCCCTCTGCATCTGAGTGTGGTTGGTGGTCACCCATTAACTACACGCACCCTTTTAGACGCCGAGAACTGGCAAGATGCCAGTGCGGATAAGTCGACCACCCGGAAACAGGTCTCCAAATCAAGCGCAGTACTTGCGATGGCCACAAAGGCAAACTTTGTTGATATCGTCAAGCTTCTGGTGGATGCAGGGGTTGATATCAACTATCAGGATGAGCAAGGCGAAACCGCGTTACATGTCGCAGCCCGGTTTGGCCATCATATGTGCGCCAAGATCTTGTTAGAGGGCAACTGTGACCAAAAGGCGGATACGGAATTGGTTGAGCACACGTACTCTTGGACACCACTGTTCATTGCCAGTGTTGATGGGTCGCTGAGCATTGTAGACCTGCTGATTGAAGCTGGTGCCGACCTTGAAAAAGCCGACTCCTCTGGGTGGACTGCGAAGGAACATGCAGCGCTGAGAGGTCACCTTGACATCGCTCGACGTCTTGCCGAACTTACACCTGAGCCTGATGTCGCGGAAGCCGAGCCTGTGATACCGATCCCTGTAGCTTCCTCCTCTCCTCCAGCCCCATCCTCTTTGATTGAGCGAAGATCTAACACCAGCACGCCCTCGGGTAGTTCTAGTACGCGGGATGTTGAACCTGTTAAATCTTTTGGACACAGGTATCTTACCGACGAGGCCATGATCTTGGTGAGCCTGGGTACCATGGATATGCACAGGCCCGTGGAAGCAGTTAACCTTGATCGTATCCCAATGGAGAACGCTCATTCCACCCAGCTTGATACTGCATTGTCCATCGTTGTTTCTGCTAACGGGGCTCATGGAGAACCCGAGATCATCGATCTGCCTGTGCAAGACAATATCTCGACGGAGCCAATCGTTTTCCATACTGCCGACGCGACGAAAGTGAGACTTCTATTCGACCTCGTCCCGACCTATGCTGGTTCGAAAGACCAGGTGGTTGGGCGTGGTGTGGCACTACTCTCTAGCATTAAGCAAAGCGTAGGCTCCAATCGCATCAACTTGAAGGGTGACTCGACTGTGCCTATTGTGGCTGCAAACACCCTGGAAGTCATCGGCACGGTCACATTCAACTTCCTCATCGTCACGCCTTTCAAGCACCCGAACATGTCCATCACCGGTGACCGGACCTATTGGAAGAGTATGAGCTCGACCATGGTTATTGGACACCGTGGCTTGGGTAAGAATATGGCCAGCCGCAATTCGTTGCAGCTTGGTGAAAATACGGTGCAGTCGTTCATTGCAGCCGCGAACCTTGGCGCATCTTATGTTGAATTCGATGTACAGCTGACCAAGGATCATGTTCCCGTTATTTATCATGATTTCCTCGTCAGTGAAACCGGAATTGATGCGCCAGTTCATACTCTCACGTTGGAACAATTCCTTCAATTGGGTGACAGTGGATCGTCTCGTCGATCTGGCTCCCCATCCCAGGCGCTTGATGCTCTTGGAAAGGAGGCAAGCACTTCTGCTCCTCGTCAACGCTCAATGTCTGTCGGTGGTTTTGAATATGACCCTGCGGAATTAAACGAGAAGATCAAGCACACTCGCGATTTCAAGAAGAAAGGCTTCAAAGGCAACACCCGAGGCAATCACATCCAAGCACCCTTCGCCACATTGGAAGAGCTTTTTAAGAAACTTCCTAAATCTGTTGGATTCAATATTGAACTGAGTGAGTTATACAGCCCTCCCTAGAACAGCTACGAGACGATCTGACTGAGATCGCCAGAATACCCCATGCTCTATGAGAGTGAGGAAGAGGAGATGGATACCTACGCAGTGGAACTGAACTCCTTTGTGGACACGGTTCTTACCCAGGCGTACGAGTTAGGTCAAGGCCGCAACATGATCTTCTCTAGTTTCAACCCTGACATTTGTTTGTTGCTTTCCTTCAAACAACCTTCTATCCCGGTGCTCTTCTTGACGGATTCTGGAGCCTCTCCTGTTGGTGATATCCGCGCCAGCAGTCTGCAGGAGGGAGTTCGGTTTGCGTCCAGGTGGAACCTGCTCGGTGTTGTCTCGCAGGCCGAGCCACTCGTACTCTGTCCTCGACTGGTTCGAGTCGTTAAAGAGTCGGGTCTGGTTTGTGTCTCTTATGGAACTCTAAACAATGATCCTGCCAATGTCAAGGTCAGTGTGCCCCAGCGTTAGCCTGTATGTTAGGCTTGACTAATACTTTTACAGCGCCAAGTGTCTGAAGGTATTGACGCGGTCATTGTCGACTCTGTTCTCGCCATCCGAAAGGGTCTTACGGAGCATCAGAGCAACTCAGTTACTCCTCAACGTAGCCCGCTCGTCCAGCCTACCCCAGTTGCTCTGAAAGATACTCTTCAAATACCCATTCTCAACCATGCGGAGCAGAAAGACGATCACCTTCACATAAAGCCGGAGGCTGTCATTTGAGCGCCTGTCATTGCATAGGCAATTCAACCTGCCACCAAGCCAAAGGCATGGTTTCTACACCATTTATGCAATTTAATGAGATATAGATGTTTAGTGTTGATTCCGCAATACCTGCCCGAGCCATACTTGCTCACTCTTGGATGTCTTTACGGGAAAGATATCTCAACATGAAATATTTTAGAAAATATGCTCTCTTTCTAAGCACAGATCTTCAACAAAAGAGACTGGACAATAATCTACTTTGGAATAAACTGCTTTGGATAATTAGCGCTAGCCATAGACATGCCATGTCTCTTACATACCAGGTGCTGAAGATCAAACCCCATTACAAGAATTTCAGCTGTAGCGTTCTTAGATTTAGTATTCGATATACTGCAATACATTGAACTAAGCATCTACCCCCGGCCCAAGGTCACGTGCACGACAGTCATCGGCAAGTGACCGAAGATAGAGAGAGCTAAAGCTTTGATAACGCTACCGCCTCCCCAACCAGATCTTCCTCTCCCCCCAGTCGACCAGCGGAGAACAACTACCCAACTTCTCCCGGCGTCAAGTATCAGTTCGAACCAACCGATACTGCCTGGGCTGAGACGGGTGGTTGGGATCGAACAACAACGAAACCATCGGTTTTTTCCAACGCCGACACCCATCGCAAGTCTAATGATGTTATGACTTGACGAGCTTTTTTTTTTATTATTATTTACCTAGCTCGAGCTTATCTCTCTTTCACATATTGTCTTTTTAATATCAGGTTATGTTCTATTCATCTCTTAAGAACCTATACAAATCACCGGATAAGACCATACCATGAACGCCGTGGATGCGACAGAGCACTATGAGACGAGTGCACGCGGTAAGACCCTCAACTCAAGCTATACAAGTCATAATCCTTGCAAGAGACGACCCTGACTTGAAAAGATCCTGCGCCCGCCCTTCTAACCGTCATCCTCGACACAAACCCCCACGCATGGGCCCTCCTCGAAGATTCCCTCCCGCTCTCCAAAGCGATCGCAAACATCCTCGTTTTCCTCAATGCCCACCTAGCCTGTAACTACGCAAACGAGGTGGCCGTGGTAGCCTCCCACAGCCAAAAGGCGGCGTGGCTGTATCCGCGCGAGAGCCCAGCCGCGAAGACATACCAAGATGCCGACGGCGACGTGTCGATGAACGGGTCGTCGGCCGATAATAATACCACCGAAGGACCGGGCCAGGTGAACAAGTACCGACCGTTCCGGATCGTGGAGGAGCAAGTTACGCACAATCTGCGTGAACTGATGGCGTCGACCAGCGGGGCGGACGTGAAAGCGACCAACTCGACGATGATGGCCGGCGCGCTTACGCTGGCTCTTAGTCATATTAACCGGCGAAGTATTGCGTGGGCTGAGGCCCACGGAGCTGATACAGCTGCGGAGACGTCGGGCGGTGGTCCATCTAGTGGTGGACATGCTTCTGGGACGGACACTGCGGAGGGGTTGCAATCGCGCATCTTGATCATATCCGTCAGTGGCGCCAGTGATTCTGCGCATCAGTATATACCGATTATGAATAGTATCTTTGCCTGTCAGCGGCTGCATATTCCGATTGATGTGTGCAAACTGAGTGGGGATGCGGTGTTTCTGCAACAGGCCTCGGATGCTACTAAGGGTGTCTATATGTCGTTGACTGAGCCTCGGGGGCTATTGCAGTACCTAATGATGGCTTTTCTGCCTGACCAGCGATCGAGGAGACATCTGGTTCTTCCGACGCGAGTCGATGTTGACTTCCGTGCGGCCTGCTTTTGTCATCGACGGGTTGTCGATATTGGTTTTGTCTGTTCTATCTGCCTGAGCATCTTCTGCGAGCCCCCGGAGAACGGCAACTGCCTGACCTGCGGCACAAACCTTGAAATGGGTGATTACGGGGCTAAGCCAGCCGTGGTCGCCCGAAAGAGGAAGAAAAAGAAGCGTGTGAACGGTCCGTCGGGCACAGCTACACCTACGCCTACGCCTACACCGGGGCCCTGACACCCTACTCCTTTCCAAAAAATGTTTTCTGCGTCGTGGAGGAGGGCTAGGAGTAAGGTTACGTGTCTGCTACCTTTGGTCTCAAGGCGATGTTAGCAGGTTGCGTTACAAAGAACATATCCAGCTTCTATTTGGTATCCTATTTCAGATACGTCCAGGAGACAGTCACAAACTCCGGTCGACACACTCCGACATTTCATAAGTGTCATTTTTCGAGAGTAAGACAGTTAGGAAAGACATCACCCGCCACACAGGCAAACAGAGTGTGTTCAATAGCATTGAGGATTCTGGCCAACATCACATTTCGGTTTCCTGCCTACATCAGTTGATCGATCGCCGAAGACACGTGGAACGTAACAACACTATCTAACGTTAGATAGTTTGACAGACAACGCTGGCCACCTGTAATCGGCTTGAAAAGTCACGTTTACTTTGACTTGTATATTACACCAAATACACCAAAACATAGATAATAAAAGGGCTTACTGTTGTGAATGGCTATGCTGTAGCACTGGGTACCTTGTGCCTAACGACATATAAGCTCAGTTGGGGTAAATTTTGTATTTCGCACCATGAGGTGCTCCCTACCTCTTGGATCGGTAGGCGCGGCCACCTTGTGCGATACTCCCATTTCCATTGCTGCGTGACATGACAGATACTGGCTTCTTGTCCTCACTGCTCATTGAAGCAAGCGCCTGAGTTGGTCGCATTTAGTATAAGAGAACTGAGAGATAAACTGGGGCTACCTACGAAAGAATCTGTGTTATGGCCAAAACACAGGTACACTCCATCAACTGTTTTCTTGACCGCCATTATTCCAATGGCACCCCGACAGTGGCTGTCTTTGACTCCAGGATGGCCTAAGCAAGAGAGAATTAGCCTTCTACATATATAGACGGTGGATGCAAAGGTCCATTTAGTACCCATGAATTCGGACGCTATCATTCCCCTGAGCGCTTCGTCCTCCGTGACTTCCTCAAATGAGCCATCTTCGCACTTTCGTTGGTTGTAATAAATGCGTGAGGCACAGGTGCTAGCAGCCATACTTGTTGCAATGTGTTCGCCGGTTCCCGAAGTGACCGTAGCAACGCATGTTTGGTCCGGGTCGTTGGGGTCTAGTGGGATAACGGCAGTACCGATGCCCACGAGCGCTGCAGGGCCAATACGGCCACGATGTTTCATCCCAATGCCACCAGATGATGACCCTGCTGCGATATTTCCCTGTGAATCGACTGCTATAGCACCAACAGTATCGCTGATTTGATCCATATCTGCGTGGTGGATATCCGTGGCAACAGAAGGGGGCGTCATTTCAACGTCTATACTGGGTTCAAGAAAACGAGGTGCCTGAGACGCTATACCGTCCATATACCCAGCATCTCTGGCTCGTGGTGGTAACATGAGAGTATCGCTAGAGCTGACCGGCGAAGAGATACCCGAATTTCTAAGACGTGTATCACCCAAGCTGGAGCTAAGCGACGAGGCAGGTCGTATGCTGCTTGGTGAAGAAAGCAAATTTGTCGGATTGACACTCACTGGTCGACGGATGTATGCCTTATGACGCTCATATCTTGCTGGGAACTGCTGCGCCTCTTTCGATTCGGCCGCTTCCAAGTCCTGTTGCCATCGCAGCCAACGTCCCCGTGCCTCTTCAGATATCAGACCGTCATGGGGAATCACAATTAGACCTTGTTCGTACGCAAAGCTTGTCGCGCCCTGTCCCACAAGGAAGTTGGGAGGCACTCTCTGTAAAGTCAGCGGCTTCGTTGATGCCTCAAGAACAACCCGAGCCAATGAGATTGGATTCTTGACTTCTATAACCCTATGTTAGTCTATTCATACAATAGCTAGTGCGAAGCAAGTTCTCCTAGAAAGTACGTACGAGAAACAGCGCCAGCCGCACCACTTCTGCCCAGGTGGTTTACGATAGTAGCGTCGCATTCAACAGCGCCATCGATGGTTAGGTTGCTGCCGTAGCCGGCATTTGTGATTTCGGAATCTTCCAGGAGCATAATGGCGATTTCCACGGCATCAACAGCTGATCCACCATTTTTGAGCATCTGAATTGCCACCTTCGCTGCGCTACTGAGGTTTAGACATGCCAGAATATTGTGCGATCAGAAAGGGGCCTGATGGCGCCAGTAGGGGTCAACCACTCACTTCTCACATGTTTCAAGATGCAGTTTTTCGTTGTGCGGACTATGAAACCCAGCTCCTGCATGGACAAAAATGGCAGAGACATCGTCTCTCCGTGGACGGCTCATTGTGTCTTTGAGTTGGCTTGTCGACGAGGGTGAAAAGTCGGCGCGTAGCTTTACGGCCGGTTGTTGCGGAAATAAGAAAGGTGGAAGACTCCACACAGTTTGGGAACAACTCAAGACCAAAGCTCGTAGCGGAGACTGGTGATTCAGCATCCGATCTATCAGAGAGTAGAGAGCACACACTGTGGAAACATCACTTCAGATGGGTGGCTCTCCTTTGCACAGCAGAGTCAGTGCGGGTTGGTATATTTCCACGATGGTTGGTTTCTAGGAAACTGTGTCGATTTCCGTTTTTAATTGTGGATGAAAATAAGGAAGACAGGGTCTTTGCAAGACTGATTGACTGTTCAATGAAGACAAGGTGTGTCGAGTTGAAGAACAGTGCTAGGGAATAGTAGGGACAATGAATAGTGTTAAGACTAAAGGTATGGGGTATAACTATGATTCCATAACAAAAGACGTGTAGTAAGCACTAGGAATACCTGAATGGCATTAAAAAGAAGGACTTCGAAGCAATGAATGTGTAGGATTGTAGGTACAAAAGGTGCCCAGAAGGAGAAAGTAGGAAGACAACACAAATATAGACCGAGGAGTGAATGTCTCTGTTTTGAATGGTTCGCAGTTCCTTCCGAAAGAACAGTCACCCAGACAGAGATGCAGTTACCTCTGGTGAGTGATCGGTAGATGCCATAACTTACAAACAACTAAGCCTTATGTATACAAGAAAGAATCATAAGGGAAATATTCTCAGGAGGAAATGACAGACATATACAGAGAATATATACTGAATTGTGAGTGCAACTCATAGTTCCAGTAGATTGATATGTGGACAGCACATGACTGAGGCTTGGCATCGATGTCATCAACCTCAGGTATCCAAAATTACCATACGGAAAAATTACCTACCTAAAACAATGGGCATACGTATGTGAACTTAAGGTACGGACGGTACACTCACTTACTACAACTACTTGCCCGCCTCTCCGTCCTTCCCTCCCCTCCTCCGCTATTCTGACCCTCTCCCTATTGCAGTACCCACTTTACTTCCTCTTCCATTCTATTCTCTGCTTCCTGGTCTCCCAATTATTTCCAACCCGACCGGTAGCAGGTTGTTCTAATCGCAGTTTGGGAGAAAGGGAAACTGTGGACGTGTGTGCTCCAGCTCATCCGTCATGGCGTCCCAAACCCCAGCCGTTGTCATGGACAAGTATGTTGCTCTACACCGTCAGATTCCGCCCGCAGATGGTAAAGATAACTAACTCTGTGTGCTACTCTGCAGCGGTACTGGATACTCTAAATTAGGTGCGTTGAATTATCCCAGTGCCTATCGCTCAAGAGCCGCCCAACCTTGAGCTTCAGGCCGAGCTCTAGGCTGACGAGTAATCAGGTTTCGCCGGTAACGACTCACCTTCATTTGTCTTCCCTACCGCAATTGCTACCAAATCTGGCGCTGGAAGTGCCAAGCCTCCTGTTGCCAACAAACCTGGGTTCTTGTCTGCAGGTGGTGGGGCAGGCTCACACTTGTCTTCGAAGCGTGGTACAGAAGACTTGGATTTCTTCATCGGCGATGAAGCTCTAGCTGCTGCCAATGGCCCTGGATATGGAATCAACTACCCCATCCGACATGGTCAGATTGAGAATTGGGATCACATGGAACGGTTCTGGTCGAACTCGATCTTCAAGTACCTGCGCGTCGAGCCGGAGGACCACTACTTCCTACTCACTGAACCTGTAAGCTTGTTTTTGGATTCAATCGCTTCTCCGTGGTTGCTGCTTTTTTATGGTGGAAACGACATTTGCTGATATATCCCGGTTGCACAGCCCCTGAACCCGCCCGAGAACCGTGAGAACACCGCGGAGATCATGTTCGAGTCGTTCAACTGCGCTGGTCTTTACATTGCGGTCCAAGCCGTGCTTGCGCTCGCTGCCTCATGGACTTCTTCTAAAGTGACCGATCGATCCCTCACAGGAACCGTTATTGACTCGGGTGATGGTGTCACCCATGTCATTCCCGTCGCGGAAGGCTACGTCATCGGATCCTCTATCAAAAGCATACCCATTGCCGGTCGAGACATCACGTATTTCGTACAAAGTTTGCTTCGTGACAGAGGAGAGCCCGATAGTAGCTTGAAAACCGCCGAGAAGGTTAAGGAAGAGTATTGTTACGTGTGCCCGGACATTGTCAAGGAATTTGCCCGCTATGATCGCGAGCCGGATCGACTCCTCAAACATACTGTCACCTCGCCCAACGGCCGGTCCGTGAACATCGATGTCGGATATGAGCGTTTCCTTGCCCCCGAGATCTTCTTCAACCCTGAAATCTACTCTTCCGACTTTTTGACTCCGCTGCCGACCGTTGTCGACGGTGTGATCCAGTCTTCCCCTATCGATGTTCGGAGAGGCCTTTATAAGAACATTGTCCTGTCCGGAGGATCTACGCTATACAAAGATTTTGGCCGGCGTCTGCAGCGTGATATCAGGCACCTGGTCGATGCTCGCATTCGCGCGTCCGAAGCTCGCAGTGGTGGCGCCAGGAGTGGTGGTTTGGATGTGGCTGTGGTGACGCACAAGAGGCAGAGGCATGGTCCATGGTTCGGAGGTAGCTTGTTGGGTCAGACCCCAGAGTTCCGCAGCTACTGCCACACCAAGGCAGAATACGATGAGATCGGCCCCAGCATTGTCCGGAGGTTTGCCCTTCTCGGAGGTCCAGGCAGCTCGTAAATAGAGGATATTAGTTGCCAGTGTGTTCATTAGCTCTTGTCAATAGCTTTCTTTTCTCATACCATGTTCCACGGCCCATCTCAATCTGACGCTGCGCGTTTTCATGTAGTTGGATAGACCAGAGGGCAAAGTCCTGACCTAATACTCACGCCCAATGTATGTACATATACACCAGACCCTCATAAGCAAGCTTCCTTCGGGGCGTTCACGTATGAATAAAAGTGAAAACGTTCAATGTCTACCACTGCCTGGCACCTACTCCCACGATGACCTAGCTGAAACATCTCGCCATCACTGAAGTCAACAACAATGGGCTGTAAAGAGAGCAATGAAAAGAGCATTCAAGCAATGAAGACCCTCGCCGCCACGAACTTGATCTAACTCCATACCAACCAATGGCGACAAAGCGCCCCAGACAATCCATTTACAATCAAAGCCTAGCCTTATCCTTAGTCATGTTTACTGTTCCGAGCGTCTCCAACCCATCAACAAAAGCATCCCACGAAGCCTGCGATAGAATAGGTGCCGTACAGTATGGTCCAGCACCAGTGGCATCCAGTAACGTATCTAACCGAGGCAACAGAGTATCCGGCAAACGGGCCTCCTTCTGAAAGATAGATTCGCGAGTGATATCGGTATGTTGGACATACCAGCTTGGATCTAGCAACACAGCATGAATCTCATACAGGGCTAGTAAATCCGAATCAATGCCTGCCTTCGCGGCAGCTTCATAGGCTCTTCGATGTCCGATGGCCTCTATGAGGGCTGGACATCTTGGTAGGATTAGCGAGTTGAATTCGGCGTGATGGTGGCCTCCTTGTAGGCCATTCAGTATTGAGCGGGACTCATCGAAGAGACCCTTCTCGTGCTGGGCAAGGAGACATGTTGGGTTCGTCGGGTACGGGGGTTGGTATCGGTTGAGGAGGAGTTCGGTGCTGATTTCTGGTTGTTTCTTGTGAGTTGTGTGCGGTAGAGAAGAAGTTGGGAAGCATACTGATACTCAATGCTAAGATATCCCTCTCCGCGATCGAAACGAAACGCGTTTCTAGTTGTGGCCCGATTATTTGGTTTTAATCCCATAAGCCCTGTGCACCGCAACGCTCGGATAAGGCATGGAACATGGGCTGGGAGGCCTGGCATAGCACTGCCTTGAATGTGGCGCTGATAACTTGCTGGATGACTGGCGTACTGTTCGACCTTTTGAATTGTTGGATGCTGTCTTGTGCGAATGGGTCGAAGACCGCGATCTGTGCCAATGCATGCAGTATAGGGAGTTGTTGGGTGCGGAATGAGATGATGGGAACAGGTTTACTATTTTGTCTCATTATCCGTCGGCGAAGACTGTACTTACCAGCCACAAAGACTGCTGTCTTCATTTGTGGGATCAGGGCCGTAGTGACTACTAGCGAACCAACAGTAGAACGCCGAGTCATTGATAGGAAGCTCTCTTGCATATTGTCTGGCTTCTTCAAAGGTCCCAGAAGCGCTGATCTGGGTAGACGGACGTGGGTGAATATTGTGATGGCATGATCTAATGGTTTCGATCCTGCTCGTTTAGGAAGTAACCTGTAGAGCTTTAGTTCTTGGATAATAGGCAACATGGACTCTCTTAGGATATTTATACTTGGCGGTGACTCCTTCACACATATTCTTACCATCATTAAGCCAGACGACGAATGGCCTAACCCCCTAATCATCACCAGAAACGAGAAGCCGGGCAAACACAAGAGCAACTTGAGGAAAGCCCTTTTTTGGCCAGTTCGGAGGTGTGTAGTCGGCTGTAGGAAGCTAACAATATAGCGCATGGCTGCCTTTACTTTGCTGCATTTGAGTTGGGCGTATGCATATCGAAATCGCCACTTGGAAGCAAGGTCGCTGTTGTCTCTAGGTTCCGAGCATTCAACCCATGTCCAACCTCTGTGAGCATAAACTGCATACTATTTAGCAAAGTCAGCTTTGTATATATGGCGACAGCCCACTCAGGCACCAGGGGCTTACAAGACATCAAACTTGAGTATACGATCCAAAAGTGGTTGATACCCAGGTTGATCTGTCACGAACATAGCGAAAGTCGCTCCAGCAATATTATACTGAAGTGAAATTAAGATAAATGCTGCACTATCAAGAGATAGGGTCATGTCCTGGTGAATCTGCCAAAACTTTGGGGTCAGATTGAGAATATCTGATGCTTCCAAGCCTAAATCTATGAGTAAGTTGTACCCCTCCTGGTTTAACGAACCTCACCATATGCCTTGGCAACCGCGTAAGCGCGGTGATAGCTGAGTTCTATTCTTTCATCGTTCGTCAGATGCTCAGGGATTGATTTGAACAGATCTGACTTGAGTAGCTTCAGAGTTGGTGAAGACATAGTGATTGATAATCTGGCCAATCTTTTCCTTCAAAGTGTCATAGGTCGAGCGATTTTTAAAGGCATTCTGTGGATAAACAGCAGCTACGACATATAGTCATGGAATATATGCTGGATCATAGGTTTGATGACGCGCAGCAACGAGTTGTAGCCTTGGAACTAGGTTCGACAACAACTTGGCAGCAGATGAGACTATCAGGCCCGCAAAAGTATCTTGTCCGGTCCACGTTCATAGCTAAAACGGTAATCCATTTAAGTATGAAGACCAGACACTGGCCTGTACGTATTTCATGGTATGTCTCGATTTGCTTTGCCTATACTTCTCTCCATACTCTGTTGTACTTGTCAGAAATCGGTTGTTGTACATCGGCTGGCACATACCTTGTAAGTTAGGCTGTTGGGGTAAATGGGCAGTTTGCACTTAAACACCGTTCCATATGCGAGTCCTGATGAGATCCCACGCTGAAATAGGGCAGGGAGATTCCCCAGATGTCAAGAGAGTCTTGGTGAAGGGTATAGTGAACGTGAGATGCATTTCTAACTTGGATCATTCCAAACGCACTAGTATATATTATGTGTCCGTGTGATCCCCAAGCTATACTTAACCAGGCGAACCCGTCACTTCTGCCTACACGATGACAATTTCCCAAGGGATATGAAGCTTTAGTAGCTACTATGTATTCATGAATGGCGGTAGATACTCAGGTATTATTCACTGTATATATACTCACACCATGTCAAACCTTGTTCAGTGGGGCAGAACAAGAGACTGGATCGTATCTTAAGAAAGAGACAAAACGCTATTTCCTGCTTCATGCAAACTCATTCATGTACAATAGAGAATCGTCAATTAAAGTCTATGCTATGTTCTTTTATGCCGCAGCCAACGCCGGTTGAAGTCCAACAGTTCCAGTCAAGGATGTTAAAATCATGTTTTTTGCGCCCTCGCATTCACTTTTCAGAATGTAGTCTTGTTCAAGATTGCCACACCTTCAACGTGGCCCGTCTGAGGAAAGAAATCGAAGCCTCTGATACTCTCAATCTCAAAACGGATATTCTTTTCCTTGTCACCCTGGACCATAACCGCCACGTCCCGCGCTTGAGTATGCACATTGCAACTCACATAGACGACGCGGCGAGGCCCAAAAGTTAGAAGTTGTTGGAGGAAATCATCACTGCAACCCTTGCGGGGCGGGTCAATGACAAGAAGTGTCTGGTCGGGAGGATAGGGTACGTCTTTGAAAAGCGTGGCAGCATCTGCCGCGGCAAAGCCAGTGTTGGGAAGGGAGTTGGCGCGCGCATTCTCTCGTGCAGAGACAATAGAATCTCCGGCCACGTCTACACCAAGACTTGACTTAAAGAGCGGCGAAAGGGTGATTGTGAAAAGACCGGACCCGGAATAGGCATCGAGAAGATACTTGATCGGCTTGGGGTCTTCTTGGTTGTTTTTTGGTAATGCAAGCTGGCGGATGTAATCTGTGAAGCCGGAGAGGATGGAATTGTTGTTTTGGAAGAAAGCGCCAGCTCTGTTGCTGAAGAAGTAATCATCGATGTATTCGACCGACGTACCATTGGGATCCGTCACACACCGTTTCTCTTCGGTGTACTTCTCTCGTTCGATCTGAATCACATCTCCCGAGTCCTCGCCCACTTCAATCTCACGGTCCTTGATCGTTGAACCAGGATCCACACCATCTTTAGGAAGTCGCGCGGTAGATTCACGCAGCAAAATAGTTGCGCCTTTAGTGTATTTCCCAATGTTTTCTGCAACCTTCTTTCTCTCACTCTTCAGCCCTTTTCGCACAATATCGGTACCCAGAGGACAATCTTCAATATCCAGATCCCGGCGCTGGTTCTTATAACAGAATCCGATGGGTGGTACCTCTTTATGGGGTTCTTTAGGGGCTTTGCTCCTCCTGTTCCCACCGGGACCCGCAAAGTGTGGCGTCAGCTTCGTGCGATAACCGTACTGCAGAGGAGAGGGAAATGTGTTGTCAACGGCCGGAATCAACTCCGGAATCAAGCCAGAGAAGTTGGCATAAGCTTTTTCCACAATGCGCTTCTTATGAGCCAGCTGATCTTCGTAGGGCATCATCTGTAGCTGGCAACCGGAGCACTTGCCAAAGTATTGGCACCCTATCCCGGCATCATTTCGCTGAGGGCCAGGCTCAATCACTTTGAGAAAATCCGTCAAACTGTAGGACAACCTAGGGAAATGCCGCACGATCTTCACTAAGGCCTTATCGCCGGGCACGGTAAACGGAACAACGTAGACATGGTTCGCATCCTCGGACAATGCAAGGCCATCGCCAGTTGAAGAGATCTCGGCAACCTTGACTTCAATCTCGGTAAATGTCTCCGGTAGAGAAGAAGTCGGTGGTGGTGTGGAAGCATCTTCTACACCGATCTCGCTCTCAGGCTTGTGCTTCCGCAGAAGGTTGTCGATATCGGCTTGAAGGACTTCATCAAAACCACTACTCTTTTCGCGGTCAACCTTGGTCTTCTTGCGCCGCTTCGCGCTCGTGTCTGGACTTTTGGGGGAGTTTGGCATTATGGTTGAGGAGAACGGCGCAATAGGGTATGGACGGTGGGACAAGAGAGGCTTGGAATGGACGAGATGTCCAGTCCGCAAAGATAGAATTGAGGTGTAGTGTTTTCGCGATAGGGAAAGACCCGCCCTAAAAGCGAACATATATAACAAACTAAATCCGAAAAATTCTAAAGAGCAGAGGAATTGTTGCGAAAGAAGAGCAGAAACAGAAAATGAGCTTAATTTCTGGAGGGACAAGATGAGTGACCCAAAAAAGGTGGGCGGCAATTGGTCGAACCGCTCCGCTGAGAATTTCGCCGGCTTTTAGTCCTTCACTTCTTCAACCATCCAAACCTCCGTCCACCCTACGCACCGCGGTCGATCCCATTCCCCCCCAAATCCCTTTCTCCTTTCCGGAATAGCTCTCCAGTGGCCTCTGCTGGCCAGAGAGCTCCTATTTTTCAACATGAGCTTCGCACGGCCGGCAAGATGTGTGTTTTGCAGCTTTACTCGAGGTGTCTCCGCCGGCACACGAGTGCCTAGTCGCCAATTCCACCCTTCCCCGACGCAGTTCGCAAACCGTAAACCAAAATTTCCCAACTTCAAAGCCCGAGATGAGAAGACCTTGGAAGAAATTACGCGGGATATGAAGCCCAACCACTTTAAGCCGTACACGGAAGAGGAAAAGGCAGGCCTGAAGGAAGAATACACTCCTGAACAGCTGGCCGCAATTGAAGCCGGTGAGGCGGCAATCGACCCCAAAGACATGGCAGAGCAGTTTGCTATTCGCCGGGACCCGATGAAGCTTCATTACCTTGATGATTTCTCCACCATTGAGCCCGGTGTGGACAAGCATGTCCGGGCGCCCAAGTCCAATTCCGACTACAACGCGACCCTCAAAAGCGATGATGATTTTGTCGACGACTTCGCCCGCTTCTTCCAGGAATTGCCAGACGATGCCACCGGGGCTGATTGGGTCCGGTTCGCTGATACCTTGCGAGTCACCCTGGGCAAGGAGGAGAATGAATTGAACCCTCATAGTGTCCTAGTGCCGGATTTGTTCAGCCAGGGGGAGTCCCTGACGGAGGAAACCAAACCGTTCAAGTCTTTTGAGATGCAGGAGTCGCCAAGGTTTGGAGAGAGTGAGGAAATAACTGAGGCGTTGAAGAGGCTTCTGCAGTCCACAGGCTATAGCCAACTCTTTGTCAAGGGTCTGGCGACGAAGACCCTTGTTTCGCACTCAGTCGTTAACCAAACTCGTCTGGGTAAGGTTCGTCGTATGTACTGCCTTTCCATCGCTGGCAACGGCAATGGTCTCCTGGGAATTGGAGAAGCCAAGTCCGAGGAGTCCGCCGATGCCATCACACAATCCAAATACCGAGCCATCAGAAACATGCAGCCCATCCCACGGTACGAGGGCCGCACCATCTTTGGTGATGTTGAGGGCAAGGTTGGAGCAGTTGAGTTGAAGTTGATGACTCGTCCGCCAGGTATGTATTCGCTTGATCATGGGCTACTGGTTCCAGCTACTAACAGCGCATAGGATTCGGACTCCGTTGTCAGCATTTGATCTTCGAGATGTGCCGTGCAGCCGGTATTCATGATCTCGCCGCTCGTGTCAGTCGCTCGAGAAACCCTATGAACACCGTCAAGGCAGCTTACGAGGCTCTCATGAATCAACGCAACCCAGAGGATATTGCCCGTGCTCGTGGCAAGAAGATGGTCGATGTCCGCAAGGTCTACTACTCGGGAAGATACTAAACCAGCGTCTTCAGCACGATGTTACGTTCTCCCTAGTTGAGCATTTCTTTCCGGGTCTTAAATGATATCAAATAGTCTGGATAACCTTCTCATCGTTATCTAGACGTCTCGACAGTCATCATCTCGCATAGAATAGACTGTACGAATATGGGCATCGTTTGCGGCATGTGATGCACGCTTCTTTGCGTTATGGCGATGTATATAATCCTTTTTCCTCTTGTTCTTTTTTGTACCCTGACATGTATTTGTATCTGCAAGGCTAGTGTCATAGTATTTCATAACAATCCAGTTCCTGGTTCCATAATCATCCAACCTTTTAAAGCCCAACACCAAAACCCACAAAAACAAAGGGGGTATACCCATGGCCCACACCTATATATGCAAGAGGAAACGAAACAAAACCCATACAATAATCACAGAAGCGAATAAACATCAAGTAAACCGCCCCTCAAAGCTCATATCCTCATCCTGGTAATCGTACCCCTGATCATGATACTGCATCTGATCGCCCTGCTGCTCCATCTGTTGCTGTTCCTCATTCTCGTTGAAGATCTGTTGCTGGAGCACAATGCTGTACACACTCGCCTTCAGAAGTGTGCAGACCGTCGCCGTCTTCCGTTCAAGAAGTCGGAGGCCGTCCAGAGTAAGGGATGAGGGGTCGCCGGAGAGGTCGGCGAGTTTGTCAGACAGCTGTAGACACGTCGCATCAGTATGAGTGTGGTCACGCTATTCTTTCGAGAATTGATGCGGGATGGGCGGCGGTGATTGTTGGAGATAGGATGCGCGGGGTATAGCGAACAACAAACACATGGACAGATACAGATAATTTACAAAGATTGAGAGGTCAATGTGCACTACATACCTTATTTACATTGCCCAGTAACCTCGAATATTCATCTAGAACCTCTTGTTCTAGATCCGAGACCATCGGATTTGAGGCGCGGAGGAGAGGGTTCTCGGATTCTTGCGCCGGAGAGCCATCGGACATCGGGGTAGACATGGTGAGTGGAAAATGAATTTTATAATGCGATGCGTCTGAGATGGGGATGGAATTGTATATATCGAAAAAGGTCTTTTCTTCAGGAGCCGTCAATTACGGATGTAGATCGATTGGTGGGGCGGTGGTGTAGAGAGGCCTGATTTATTTGTTTGGGTTGCGGCGTGTTTTCTATCAATCAATAATACATTATCGTCTGGAGGGCTGAGCCCGATCAAGCAGGCGGCGACCTCTGTATTATACGGCAGAATAATGTGTACACTTTCTTGACTTCCTGATCGAAAAGTGTATATTTTGGAGGGCGTTATAACGCAGTCAATATCGACCCTTGACTAATTATAGTGGATTCATGAAGCCATTCTTATTTTATATGAATTTTGAGAAGATCTTTTAGTTCCAAAGAGGCTGTATCTGTGTAGATTGAGTGGGTCTAGAATACCAGTAAAAGCCTTCTTTCCTACCTCGAGGTCGATGAGCCCCAGCTAGCTCCGATTGTCATCAAGGACCGCCTTCCATAGTGGGTCTAGCTTTGGGTCACATGATGCTACTACTGTCTATGGAACACAGGCTAGTCAGCTATTTACTCTATAGCCAATCAAAGACACCCTCTATATTTCCTCTCAACAGATATTATAGCCATAGCCTATGCACAGGAGCTCTGATACTTAACCATATCCTAAGCTGTCCATAATCTCACTCCCAGAAAGAGAAGAACCATCCGCGGAAAACCCCGGAGTTCTGTCCCCATGTACCCATCCTAAGATATGTCCACATACTGCACCCTCAAAATTAATGACCAAAAGACCTCTATAACCATCAACCGGAAGTCGTGGAAGCAAGAGGAGGCAGAGTGGTTGTATGAGTAGTCTCAGCCGTGCCATTCGTGGCATAATCACTACCAGGAGAGACCTCAACCTCCCCGGTAGCAATATCAAACCCATTAATAGTTCTATTGAAGATCTGTAACGCAGCCGCCGGTTGGAAGTCTAGTCACCCTAAATTAGCATTTGAAGACATCATCAAACAGAGAACCAAAAGATGAAATCTCATACAGGGAACTTCGTGCCCAGCCTCCCAAACACGGGTAAAGCTGAGCTTTCCATACTGCCGAGTTTCGCCGTATGCTGTCCCATCTACCACGAGGTTCGTGTATCCTGCATTGTTGAACGCTTCTTGCCCCGACCATTGGGCGACTTTGGAGATTGCCTCCCCACCGAGCCAGTTGCAGATGTAGTCGGCGTCGCCGTAGACAAGGGAAATTTGGATATCTAGTTCCAGGAGCTTTTCTAGATCGGGGAGATACGGCGCCGCGAAGTCGCCGGACAGACTGAACGCTGTATAGATCAGGTTGCTTGAGGTGTAGTTTAGATCTACGCCGAGGGCATCTTGGACGGGAGCGGTATTGAGGTAGTCCTATGTTGTATGTCAGTTGGCAAGCAAAGTTGGGAATAGCGGGTATATAAGGCACCTACACGCCAGTAACTCGGGGGAACGTCTTGACCGGTAGGTTTACGCTGGTTTTGGCTGGTTAGCTATCAATGCGTGATGTAGGTAATGCCAGACGTACGATATCATAGGTTCCACGATCGCCGAAGCGATAAAACAGTCCTTCCACAGTGGTCTGGCAGATAAATTGGGCGGCCGCACACGCTGACCGACGGACAATGGCATTTTCCCGCGTCAGCCAGTTACAGTAATCAAGCTGGTCTTGACAGCCGTCTGGCATGTAGAGGCTGAAGGCACCGTGGTCATAGACTGTGTCGTTGATAAGCTGTACCCCGTATGTGTTCTTCTTTGTGAACTCGAGAAGGTATTTCGTCTGCGTCGGCTCATCAATGATGCCGTTGATGATCCCAAGGGACTTGAAGTTCAGTTTGCGACCTTTTGAACCATCTTCAGGGAGATTCTTGTTCTGCTCATAGAAGTACGTGGAGAAACTGGGGCCCCAGTGGCCACCAAATGATTCGGTCCTAGTTATCAGATCAGCTGTATGGATCTACGACAGTATGAACTCGGGGCTTCAGATACCAGAGATTAAAATCCGTCGACTCAACATCTGCGTCTAAATCCGGAAGTGCGCTATAAAAGCCTTGAAGCAGCTCCCACGCCGACTCCGCCGCCAACCGGCTAGTGTCGAGCGCAGTGACATTGATGACAGACCACCGCCCTTCTTCCGTCTTATTAGTAGTCGACTCGACGGTCAGATAAGTAGGATCTAAGGATCCAACCTCCTTTGTGCTATACGAGAACCCTGCAGTCTTATTAGCACAGCCATCCACCTAATATCAAGAACCACATACCCGTCCCCACGGGCTGAGAAAGAAATAACAGATTAGAAACCTCCGTCCAAGAATGATCACGAAGGACCGTCGTCATATTCTCCGCGACAGTACAAGGGCCCAATTCCTCAAACAGCCCAATGAGAGAATCGCTGCCCGGGCCTCCATTCAGCCAGAGCGTCACCGGATCATGCTTCGGGTCGCGCTTTGATTCAAAGAACCAGAAAAACACATGGATATCTGGCGTTAGATCAATGTACCCGCTGTACGATTTGACCCCAGGAGTAGTTTCACAGACACCTTCTTTGCCGGGTTCCTTGTACCGAATCGTGCTACCATTCGGGCTGGTGATGGTTTTGACGCCGGTTGGTTCTTTGGGCGCATCTCGTGGATTGACTGCGAGGATTGCTGTTACAGCAGTTGCCAATAGGAGGCTGAGTTGCATTCGCATTTTAGGGTTTTGAGGAGGCTCGTTCTTTAAATGGCTTACAGATGTATTCCGTGCTTTAGATAGAAACGGGATGGTTTACGTTGCTGGTCGACGTATCTTTCCACGCTGCTTTTTTATCTATCACTACATTCTATACAACAGCCTCCCTCGTTGACAGAGCCGAAGGACGGGATCAGGTTCCGAAGAACTAATATATTAACTCGGTCGTTGTTAGGGCTTATCTACCGAGCTGACAGGGTACAGTTCCATCGCTGGATATCACGCGGTCTGGGCTCGGGCCATCTATAACCATCCCGAAGCTTTATTGGGCGAACTGCAATGCTATCAGCCGGGGTGCTTCATACCTGTGCGGAGTAATCATTTAATCTATGTATGATAAAGCGCGACTCTAACGTGCAGATCTTCCCCCGCCGGAAAATTTCCTGAGACATGGATAATCCAGCTCCACGAGTGTGGTTTGCTGGTTGCATAGAGGGTACTTGGATTGGGATATGGTTGGTCATTGACTCACTGTCAGTGCAACTAGAGTCTGGGGAGGCATATTGGAAAACTGAGCACGGGCTGACGCCAACATCCCCGGCGTGAGGGCATAAAGTTGTCTCAGTTTTGACTAGGTTATTGAGTTACCCTTGGGCAGTGTCGGAGAGGACTTATCGAAGACAAGTGACTGGCGATGCGCCTGTCTATTGGGTTATACCAGAAAACTGCGCTCTACTAGCAGACGAAACGTTTGATTGAGAAATATAATCATGCAAAGATAGTCAATTACATAGATTGAATATACCCAGGATAACCTATACAGCTCCATCAGACTAGACCACATCACTTGGCTCTAAACCTTCGACTCTCCCATGATAAACCCGACAACCTTCTTTATTCCCAAACTCGATTCGACGCGAGCTTCCAGATCTTCGCTCACATAGTGCCTGCGGCCTGTGTTCAGGTCGATATCCTTCGCATGGATCCATAGCGGACCTCGATAATAAATCTTGCTACCAACATATAGACCAACAATAGCGACGATCGATATATAGTTCGCAAAGAAGTTTTCAGCACTGCTCTTTTTCTTGAGAGGCCACACAGCCAAGTAAAACTGGACAACAACCAACAGCATACACCAGGTCAACCCATAGACAGTTCCAAAGAGCCCTGCCCACGACCTCCACGGTAGGTCGTCAAGCGAACGGCCCTGAGCCCGCCATGCCATGCGGAACCGCAAATGAGATAGGAATATCGTGCCCCAGAGCCAGAGAATGCACAGAGCCGTGAGGTTCGAAAACCATCCGAATACCGTTGCACCTGAATTCGTGACATTGAGATAGCAGAGGCCACCCCCCACGAGGAAGGTGATACAGATAGCCGCCCATGGGCGTCCCAGTCGGTCACACTTTTTGAAAATGGCCGGTGCCATGTCGATATTAGCCAGACCGACCACTGTACGGGTAGCAGCGTATGCTTGTGCATTGCCGGACGAAACGACACTGATGAAAATAACTGCGTTCATGGCGTGTGCTAGGCCGGGGATACCAGCATTGCGAAAAGCGATTACATAGGGGCTGGCATTGATCCCTTCACCACCGAAGAGATCTGGGTCTTTGGGTGAGACGGTGATAGTCACCATCAGACCACCAACGACGTAGAAGAGCGTTAGACGAAGCCAAATCGAATTGACAGCCTTGGGAACTGATTTCAATGGGTTGCGAGCTTCAGCAGCAGCGATACCGCCGAATTCAGTGCCACCCATGGCGAAAATACAGGTTCCCATAACAGAGAGGAACCC